TTTATTGTTATTCCTCTCCGTGTTGCTTTGCGTAACCTGCAGGAAGGGCACCTCGATTTTTCGACAACCTGTTGCACCCTGTAAGGTCACTGCATGCTGGACGTAGGCTGGACTTGGCTCCACTGAGCTTTGGAACGAACCTCAACTGCGTTGTCTGCGAAATCAGTACGCAAAAGGCGAGCTTGTGGTGCGCCTTCGGGAGCACTTGAATATGAATGAAACAGACGGTGCACGGAGGATCATTTTGGCTAGGATAATTTACCCACCCCCCCGCATCGTTATGGATGCAAAGATCGTAGCCATCTTTTGTTGCTGGCTTCAATGTTCAGATAGTTCGCGGAAAAATTTGAAGGCTTAGTAATGAATTAAGAAATCATCACTCAGATAAACCGTAATTTCGCCAAGACCAGATTTCACGGCATGTTGCACTGCTCCTTTCTCTCAGTTGCCTAAGGGTGCATTTAACAAGGCGTCGGCTCCGTGGTATTTACGCTCCTGTAGTGGCCGTACGAACGTCGAATAATTTTGTTCGCCAAAGCCACTTCGCGCGCGTTGCCACTCATACTGCAGGAACTGGTACTCCACGTGTGCTAGCACACAAACATCATAAGTTCTAATGAAGCACCACTCCTCCAAGACAACGTTTCATAAACGCCATTGTTTCATTTGATTGCAACCAAAAAATAGAAATAAAAATTTGAAAAAAAATTTATTGCGTAATTTTTTAAATCAACAGGTGTTTCAAACGAATTCAGAACGTCTTTTCTACAATACCTTCAACGGCTCGTGAGCGAAGCGTCGTGACGAAACCTGTTCGTGGTCACGCTTTGGTCATTTGATCTGAATCGAGCCGCGCGAAGCATTCGCAGCCGGAACGTTCGTTAGTTCGTTTTTTCCACAAAGCTCCCCCCCCCGCCTCCTCCATAACTTCAGTATCAACGGTATTCTAGGTGTTGGTCGTCAGGATACCATGTTCTTCTTGTCCTCTTTCACCGGTCGTGCGTCCCGGTTCAGAATTTAGACGGCATGATGAAGTAGGTGTTTTGGTAGTGGACTTTTTGGAAGTTCGTTGATACGAAGGCTGTGCCTTTGTTGTCCGTGCTTCCGGATCTGTAGGCATTGCCTTAAAAAGTAACGCGCCCCTGTCACGTATGGCAGCAGACAGTTGGCATTTGTCGTCACTTAATTTTTATAATAGTCGTAATGTTTATCGTGTAAATTTCGGTATTGCCTAGCGGTGTACATCCTGAGTACGGGCGGAGATCCAGATGGCACGGCATTAAGCATCTGTGATCGTCGGCGTCCTTCGTTGAGAAAAGGCAGACGCTGCAGGAGGAAATCGCTTGATGATCTCTTATGATTAATGATCTCTGTTGTGATCGATACAGCGAAGATCGCCCGAAATCTGGACTGGCAGTTTGAAGCCGTGTATCACGCGACCGGTCTATTTTGTGTGGGTGCAGAGAACGACGTTTATCGTGATACGGTATGGAAGGGGGACACTTGATGATGTTAACGTACGCTCGATGGCCAGAAATACAGATCGTGGCCTTTCGTCCACAAACACGGATCACTCGCTTCGCATGTGTTTACGTTAACTGCATATAAGCAACGAGTTGATTGACCTGACCGCATGATTGCTTATCTTAAGGGGACACTGTTCCTCGGCCGCAGACTACGGTTCTTGTTTATTGGCACAGCTTCGGACCTATCAGGCGAATCACGCGAACGACGAGCGCGTCATCGGCCACGCCTCTTTGACCAATGGCAAAATTGTCATCCAATGATGATGAGCCGGATGAGCGAAAATTTTCGCTCAGAAGCACTTTGTGTTGTGTCGCGTCGTGAACACCCGCCCCAGCCCAGTCGCTTGCACCAAGAGGACGCACGATGTATTCTGTAATAAACACAAGATGCTTGAAGAATATCAAGCTGAATGGCAGTGGCAAGACGCGCTACAGCAGCAACCGACCACGATTGGACCAGAGAGATATTGAACTGGTGTCCATGAGAGATTGAATAGAGCCCGTAGGAAGCTGCCTACCGCCCAGATCGATGGCAGGAGGAGCTGCATCAAGTGTTCACTGAATCAGTGTGGATAAGAATCGGAGAAACAGACGTTTATGGCATGGCCTGTTTATGAAGAAGCGCTCATCGAGCAATGAATCGAAAAAGGCTGATGATCATAATGATGACACACGATGCTGAAACCGTTGCCACCCGAAC